ATAAAATGTTATGGAGTTAATTTATTAGAAACACTTAAGAAGTACATATTTTTGTGCAGTAAACTTTTGAACCGATACTTTTTTTGAAGAACCAGTTACCTTGCTTTTTTTAAGTTCTTTCTATAATTTCCTTTGGAGATGCAGACATTATAGAATCAATGCCATTTTTCAAACGCACTGCCATTCCATATCGGTTCTAGATGGGTTTCTTAACTTGAAGTACTTTTATAATCACAGCAATTCTAAACAAAATATTTTGAAAGGCATTTGTCATTCCTTGAAGCCAAGATTTTAAAAGACCAATGTCCTCTAGGGGGTTCTTTTACTGTACTGTGTATGGTGTGTAGTCACAGAAAATCAGTGTGATGAGCTTCAGTGTCCAGGGTGTGAGGCCCTCAAGCTGAGTCTCTACACACTGTGTGCATCATGTCTCTTCCGGTGTGGGAGATGAAACTCCTTTCCTTTTTAATCTGTCTTTATTCATGAGTTAGATGCACTGTCTCTTTTCTTAATGATCATTTTACAGCTGTGCTCATTTCTGGCGTTTTGACAATGTTTTCTAGGTAATGCTGTTGTATGAGTCATAATGGGTATAATTTTAAAGAAAAACAAAACTGTAATATTGGGGTTTGGTAACAGGTAACTGTAGCAGATGTACATTTTGCTAGAATGATTTCTTCTATTTATTACGTATCATGAACTTGTAAGTAAATGCTGTATCCATAGAGTGTTTATATATCCTGAATTTGCAATTCCAAATACTGCTGTGAGTATTCACAAAGAATATTATCAGCTTCAGCAGTAGTCTTTACAAAAGTACTTTAAACAATCAGGTCTGTTCAACAGCAGTTCGTCTTCTCTGACAATCCAGGGGCTGCAGATGTGGAGGCCCAGCTGGGGGAGGTTCTAGCTGGTGGCCTCCAGCCTGGAGGAGCTTTACTGGTTGCCCAGTGGAATGGGACAGAGAGCACTAAACAGCATTTTCTGTGCAGTGTTACAACAGGGAAAGGGTAAGGAAGCACTGGTGGATGTAGGGCACTGGTGTCAAAGTTCAGCTGAAATTTTTATTGGGGTTTCTTAAGATTATCCTCTCATTTACTATTTTCTTCTCTAATTTCCTCAGCCCATTGCCCACAAGCAAATTCCTTTGGAAGAGGAAGCCCCCCACCTTTTTTTAAAATAGAGCTTTGGCGCTGTCTTCACACACTAAATTACTGCTCAAGCAATGGGGTAACAGAAGGCAACTCCAGAGGGTTTAGGTCTCTGGTTCCTTGGGAGCCATCTGTGACTTTAGGAAGGCCACACTTTGAATAGAAGGCACTGCTGCACCTGCTGCCATGTTATGGCTTCTTTCATGGCCCATGCATGGACCTTCTTGCACATTCTTCCCCCCAAGCTTTAGTCTTGTCTCTTGCTCCTAGGAATCCTTCTAGCCCAGGCCCCACTGGCATCTGGGTGTGTTGATTCACAGCCCAGTTTCCCACTTTTCCCTCTCTCAGCTGTCTGCTTGCCATCCCTGTCATGCAGACACATACTATGTCTAGTTTTGTTTGTGGCATGTATCGTCTCTCACACACCTAGAGTCCCGAGGCCGGCTCTACTTCTGTCTTCCACCACAGCAGGTGCTCATCTGACCTCAGTGTTAGTTGCTCCCTTCTTTGTGCCTCATCCAGTGCTAGACAATCAGATGCACCCATGCTTTCCCCAAACAAGTTGTAGTGAGCCCTGGAGGGTGGTGCGAGGGTGAAGGTTGGAGATGCAGCTAGAGTGCCCAGAACTTGAAGTCCACACTGTTCCTTGAGAGGCCACCAAACCAGTTTTACCCAGATAGTGAATAGGAAAAGTGTCAAATGGTAAGACTAATTATATTTTAAAAATACGGCAAGTTGGCATCTGGTGGGCATCTAAGATAAGCTAGGTTCTTGAGCAATGCTGGCTCTACAGCAACCACAAAGCCTAAGGAGGCTGTTGAAATAAAGGGAAAAGTTTAGTTCTGCATGCACTAGCAGCCTTGGACACCAGAAATAGAGAACATTTCCTTCACTGTGGACGGTACTGTCATCCAGTACTGTGTCAACAGAGCAAAATGTGAACATTTTAGAAAGAAGTAATCCATTCTGCTGAATGACTGAAAGCAGAACCATGATTACATTATAATGCAGATGAAGATGAGTATTTGGGGTGAGAAGAGCAAGTTGTAGACCTAATTCCAGGCCTGCGAGAGCCAGAATTACCTGGCTCTGTCAGTATCATGTACTTTCCTCAGCATGCATTGCACCATATCCTATAGACAAAGGTGTTGACTGAAAAGCTCCAAAAAAATGTTAATGCAAGTGGATGATCTAGTGTGTAGGCTAGACACATGTTTGTATGCATCCCTTAGAGGTGTATTTGAACAACGGTATTTATTGTACAGCTTTTGGAATCATTGGTATCAGGTAAAAGATTAGCAGGTGCACTGATTTCAAAAGCCATTGGGAAAGTTGTAGACTAGGCTTCTTTTTAATCTTTCATAATGATGGAAAATAAAGTTATCTCCCAACAGTGCTTTCCCTCAAAGAAGTTTATGTGGAAAAAAGCCTGTTCAGAGAGATCGTTCCAGTTAACAGCAGTGTGTACTTGTGGTATGATCTTCCTATGACCTTGTATAATGCCCCCCCAACATTGTGGATGGAACTGTGACAATGATACATGATTATGTTATGTTATACAGCCAAAGGGAGATTATCTGGGGTTGACTAATCCAATTTTGTGAGCCATTTAAAAGCAATTTCCTCAGGCTGGTAGAACTCTGAAACCAGGAAGAGGACTCCAAACACCATTGCTGGCTTAAATGGAAGGGGCTGCTTAAGAAGAGCTGCAGGTGGCCTTAAGGATCGGAGGCTTTGGTCACCAGCCAAGTAAACTGGAACTGCAGCCTTTCTGCCATGGGACCAGAGTTCCTATGCTCATCCACCAGGTTGGAAATGGACAGTCTCCAGATGAGAGGCCAGCCTGGCAGACAAGTTCATTGCAGCTTTGTAAATGAGACCCTGCCCAGACAGCTCGGTTAAGCATGTCCAGACTTCTGACATACAGAACAGTGAGATAATAAGTGGCTAGATTTGCGGTGATTTATAATGAAACAACAGGAAAAGAACTTCAGAGTTCTGAGACATCTTCAGATCTTATTGCCTATAGTAGTTTAGTTTCTTCTTTCTCTTGTTTCTATTTTTTCTTCTTTTTAGACAGGGTTTTATATTCCAGGCTGGCCTTGAACTTGTGGCCTTCGTCCTTCAGCCTCCCAAGTGCTGGTGTGTGCCACCATGCCTGACTTGTTGAGTTCTGTTTTGTTTTGTTATTTTGAGACAGCATCTCACTATGTAGCCCCAGTTGGTCTGGAACTCGCTGTATAGACCATCCAGGTTGGCCTCGATCTCTCAGTGACTCATCCTGCCTCAGCTCTGAAGAGCTGGGATTAAAGGTATTTGTGGTCACACTTGGCTTGCTGGATGTTTCTTGATAAACACAAGGATAAAGTCTTTACTAGCAAGTCATTTTCCTGGGTCTCATCTAGGATGCTCTGTGTCAGAGATCCCAAAGTTTCTGCTGGAAGTTTACTGGCAAAAAGTTTTATTACTTTAGTAATGTTCTGTAAAGCAATTGCTAAAATGAGATTATAGGAATAGGAATATAAATAATCTTTTTTCTCCAAGATGAGGCTAAATTATACTGAATTAGATGGACTGCCTTGGGCCTGCCAGAAGTATTTGAAAGAATGATGAACAATGGCATTTTCAATCAGATGTTAAGAAAACAAGTTTCTGCCTTTATGTACTCACAGGCCTGTCCAACCTTCTGACAGCTCAACGTTAACATTATCATCTGCAAAATTCATGCTTGAGAAACACAATCCAGTTACCAAAAAGAAAAAAAAAAGGAAAATAATTTAATTTTAAAAATGTTTTCAGTGTGGGAATGAACAAAGGCAGAATGAATGTTTAAAGAAAACTGAGGGGAAATTTTATTTGCCTGATGTTTTAATTGCTGTTCTGACAAACAGCATTTAAATGCCGGGCGTGGTGGTGCACACCTTTAATCCCAGCACTCGGGAGGCAGAGGCAGGTGGATCTCCATGAGTTCAAGGCCAGCCTGGTCTACGTAGCGAGTTCTAGGACAGCTGGGGCTACAGGGAGGCCCTGTCTCAAAAAAGACCAAAAAAAAAGTTTTACATAAGCTTACAATTTTGTGTTGTGCTGTTCATTGCTATCCTGGGTCACAGGTTAGACAGGCCTGATAGATTACTCTATGACAGATTTAATGTTAATCAATTAAATTCTTATCAAAACATTCAGTAGCGAACACAGCTCAAACCCAATATGTCAACCAGATTTTTATAGTTAGAATGTTTTCCAAAATACCTCTGCTTCCAAGGCTTTAACTGCTAATGCACCTCATTTTTATTTTGGTTTATTCATTTACCTTTGTGGTTTTTTAAAAAAACCATCCTGCCATAGCCTTGGAATAAGACAAACAGAACTAAAGGAAAGGAACTTAGAGGTTTAACACTGTCAGATCACAACCTTGTGTCAGTCATCTTTGTGTTGTAAGACATCAACCCAGTTCAGCCCTTTAGGGAAAAGGGATTTCCAAGCTATGCAGCATTTGTAGCTTGTAAAATTTAAACAGATAGTTGTGAAAATTTATTAGTCTTAACAGATGTGCTATGATAACTAGTATGCTTTATTTAATGCATGTAAGCATACAATGCTAAAAAGATTACAGCAGTGTTATAAAAAGCAAGCAAACCAAGGACTTTGTTACCTGTGCCCTACACCATCACTAGCTAAATGAGTTCCTTTCCTGATGCACCCCCTTCTGGTCTGTGCACTGTGATGGAGCTAGCAGGTGAGAAGTTGGCTGTCCAGCAATGTGGTGAATACAACACTGTCCCCATCAGTGACCTGAGTGAAGGAAACATTTGCTCCAAGTGCCACTTCAGCTGCTAACACAGGTGCTGACAGTGTGCTAAAGGCAAGTGTTGTTTGTATTTGTCAGGAAAAGCTGAATACTCTAGGACATCACAGAGGCGGTTTGTCCCCTGCTCCTAGTTGTTGCCCTGGAATCAAAGGTTCTTTAGCTTGATCAGCATTCCATTCTTTCTCTGAAATGCTCAGTGTTTCCTCTAACTTGGTGACAGCACCTTCTGAAGATGTACTCCCTGAGCCTTAAGAGTGGCTGCTGTGGATAGTCCTGTAGATGCACTGCCAGCAGACTGGATGTGCTCCATCTCAGTGTGGACAGAATGTTTTCTTCTAAGAAAGGCAAGTCTGGTAAGCTGCTCAATTATGTATCTCTTCTAGAGTGAAAAACCCGTGTCTCAGAGCACTTCCTTTGGAAAGGTGCTCTGTGCCTTTGGGGATATTTCTGGGAGCATCCTTCTGCAAGCTGCCTGAAGAATCTTCTTTGCTAGGTTGTACCCCGATTTTTTTTTCTTAAATGTATAGTACATATTTTCCTTACAATGTCTTCATGGGTTGAACAGTTAATCTCTGCAGTAATATTTTAGGTACCTGATGGATTTTTAAAGGAAGATTATTTATTTTTGTTTGCTGCTATAATTGAAACCCTAATAACTGGTCCTGTTGACTGTGCCTTTCATCACTGTTTCTCTGTGCTACAATCGTCCATGTGTATTTGAAATAAAGAAGTTTGAAAAGCCATGTTGAATCAAGATTCCTTCTAATAAAACTGGGTGAAACTGAATGAGTGCACAGTATTTACTTTGCTTAGCTTATTACAATGGCCTTTACTTGATCCATTTTTCAGTTAGAAAGTTAATGAATAATTCTGTTAAGACAGTGGTTATCAATATTTATGTAGCTCACTTTATACACACGCACTTCTCAAATCAGAGTAGCCTGCTGGGGCTGTGCTTTGCATGTTAATGACATCAGGGCCTCATGGACAGGGGCTCCTGTGTGAGCCACATAGAAACCTAAACATGCTTCTGAAGGGGTGTCTGTGGCTTGTGATAACAGAGATCATTAAAAATGATATAGACCAGGGCAGCACTTTGGACAGGGGCACAGACATGTACATAGCTCTCTGTAAGTCAGCTTAACTTTTCTTTAAAAACATGAACCCTCTTTTCTAAAACACTTTGGGCTACCCCAACATTATGGGCTTTCTTATACTTTCTTTGAAATTCCCCACCATGTGGCTGCTAGTCTGCCACATCCACCTCCATGTCAGCTCTAAACTGGCTTGGCTTTATGGCTCTACCCCCTATTCTCCTCCTAAGGGCAGCCTTAAGGATTATTTTCTTTAAATTCCAGTAAAACTGTCTTAAAAGCTTAAAGAAAAAAAAAACACAAAACAAAACAAAAAAAAACGGCTCAGCAGTTAAAAGCACTGGCTGCTCTTACAGAGAGGACCTTGGGTCAGTTCTCAGCACCCATATGGCAGCTGTCTGCAACTCCAGTTCCAGGGGATCTGACTCCCTCTTCTGGCCTCTGTGGACATTGCACACACATGTATGCAGGTAAAACACTCATACACAAGAATTTTGAATTTTTATAAACTATACAACCTACCAGCAACAGGGAGGGAACCTTCCCACATTCTCCATATTAAAAATAGTTTTATATTTCCCTGGGCCCTTTGTATTTTTATATATAGCTTTGTATGCGAATAATGCCAACAAATAAAACTCATGCTTTAGTTTAAAAATATTTATTATAGAAATGTACATTTAATTTTAAGGAATGTGCTAGATAATAATGTTAATATCACCTCAAATTTGTAAACTTTACATCTTTAGGATATCTATAAAGATACTTCATTTACAAACTTTACAAGAAACTGTCCTTCCCTAACCCTGACAGTTAAGCTAGAACACTGTTGCTTTTCTCTTCATTTCACTCTGTACTTGTAGAAGGAACACAGAGCGTGGGTGAAGTTCCATCCCAGCGCTAGCGAGAGCGCATACAGCAGAATGAGGGGTGCAAACGGATAGAGAAGAATTACTGTGTTTTTCAAAAATGGCAATGCTGGAAAAAAATCCAAATGCACTTTAAAAATAAGGAATATGAACATGTACACATTCCAAAGGAGCACATATTTTGTACCTGTAATGCAACACTGTGGTAGAACTATAATCTCTCTCATTTAGGGGACTGCTTCAGTGGAGGAACAAATGCCACAGCTCCTAAGTCAGTGAACTCCAGAGGCCTTGTCTATCTTATCTTACTTTCCACCTTAGCACACAACGTGAAGGACTTCATTATGGGATTTTCATTCATACAGAGACTGATGACATTATAAGGAAAACCAACTTTTACCCATTTGAGCTTTTCCAGTGCAAATATCACCATGCTCCAATGAGAAGCTGTGATCTCAACTAGAATCCCAAGCTTTGGAAAAGAGCTAAGGCTCTGAAACATAAATACTATGTTTCTTGCTTACTGCTTAGTGAGACTCTGCCCATGTATTCTGACCTAAACAGTTTTCATACAGGCAATTCCTAAACAGACTGCTAACCTCAAACAGTTCTGCAGGCAGGGGAGCCTTCAAAAGTCTACTTGTTGAACCCACAGTGCTGCAGTGTGACATGGACCACAACTTAAAACCCTCAAAGATAAGTGAAAATTCACTAGAGACATGATTAAAGAAGCCACGAACCTCTCTCCTGAACTAGAAATATCTCTCCAAACAAGGCAGTTGGAAGAAGAGGATTTTAGTAAGATTTTTGAGGTTTTTTTGGTGGTGGTGGGAAACGAACACAGATCTTGCACACGATAGACAGGTTCTCTACTGAGCCAAACCTGAACCACATCCCCAGTCTGAGATCATTTCTCAACATAAATGACGAATATCCTGGGGTCAGTAAACACAGAGCTTGATCTAGGATCATCTACAGAACCACTGTGATCACAAAAACTGAAATAAGGAAAAGGTATGCTGCAAAAGGTTTTAAACAACTTCAGTCCATCCCCTTTCTCACTCTATCCTACAGTTAGTAAGTTGGAACCTAATACAAGAGAGAGAAGAGAGAGTCAAGGAATCCGTCTGTAACTTGGAAATGATTTAACATGGCTCCTTGAAATGACAAATATACACCAGCTATGCAACTTTCTAGTTGTACGACAATAAATTAATCTGTGCCTAAATCTCATTTGAAAAATGGGAAATAGGCACACTTGTATGATTATGAAGATTATATGGGGTAATCCTTTTAAATAAATACCCAATACACTGTCAGTACTCTGTAGGGTTACACTATAAGTCTACTGTTAGATCTTTCCCCCCGCCCTGCTTTCAATGAACCAAAACGTTAATATTACTTACCACTGTATCCCAGGAAGGTTACATAGATATAATAGCCAACTGCAATCAACCATAAGGTATTTCCAACTAAGTATCCAATAAATGTGTCTGTGAGGATAACATCTGTTAGAAGAAATAGGAGTGAGTGCATGGAAGCAAGCAACGAGGCCTCTGGTAGCATTTGAGAAACAAGCAAAACTTACGGTTGATGAAAAAGAGCTGGATAAAATGCAAAATGACTAGGAGTGGATAAAATGCATTCAGGTGCACGTCAAAGGCATAGCCCCACTCCACATCATAGTCTCTGCTCTGGCGTTTCACTAAATACTTGTTTGAGATGAACCTGAAGAGCAAAATGAAAATTTATGTACAAAATAATAAAATAAGTTCTGTCAGTGCTGACTACCTTTCTAAATGTCACCAGTTACCTAAGATCTAGAGATAGAGCAATGAATGAAACAGACAAATGTCTCTACCTTCCATCTGGTGGGAGAGACTGACAATGGTACTATGAAAAATGGCAGAGACTACAAACCTGAGGTTCAGTTTAAAATCTGACGGACATGGAGTAACACTTGGGTAAAGTCCCAGGGGCAGTGATGGGGCCTGGCCCATCTGAGGAGTGGGTAAGATCCAGTGATGTAAGCAGAGAGAGGAAACGGAGCTGGTCTTCTGGTGCCTGTGACTACATTATGACATCTTTTTCTCTGGTGAAGCGAAGCCACTGTGAAGTTTTAAGATGTGTCTGATCGAAATGTTCTGACAGGGTCTCCCTGGTAGGCAACCCAAGAACAGACTCCAAGGACAAGAGACTCCTAAATGGAAGGTGAGGAGATGACAGGACCATGTCACTAGTCAGGTAGCAGTGGAGGTGATGAGGTATACAACACTCTAGTTGAAGTTAGAGCCAAGGATTTTCCCTGAACAAATGGAAGGCAGACTGCCATTAATGAAGATGGGATTGGTGCCCCAAGGGTAGTTCCAAGGATGAAAAGAGTGTAGGACTTTGAATTTGGGTCAGCTATGTCATATGTGCTTACTGACATGGAGTAAGCTGTAGATAAAGCTTGCAGTTTATAGGAGAGGTCCAACCTGGACAGATAAACTCATCAGTGTATAGATGATATTTAAAGCCATGGACCCAGATGACATGACCAAAAGCAAACAAATCCCTCAGTAAACAATCAATGCCAAGACTTGTGCCAATTTCCTTTACCGTTAAAAGAATAGGGAAAGGAGGAAACACTACAAAGGGATGAGTTAGGTATATCCAGACATAAGAACAATTACTCAAACTTATGTCAATGTTCTACAATTTGACCCACGAATTCAGTTAAATGATGAATGAATGAAAAAGTATAATATCCAGATAAGAGAAAGTAGATCCTCAATGAAAAAACAAGTATCATTTGTACTCTAAACACCTGTGGAAATTCAACAAACCATTTTTGGGAAGTCGGTTCTCTTCTTCCACCAGGTAGACTCTGGGGATTAAACTTGGGTCATCAGGCTCAGAAGCAAGCAGCACCTTTCCCTGCTGAGCCATCTTGCCAGCCTATGTCATTGTATTTTAATTCAAGGATATAATTAATAAAATCCTCTTGCTACATAAAGAGATACAGAAAAGAGGGCCAAGTACTGTGGCACATGCTTCTAATTCCAGTACTTGGAAGGCTGAGGCAGGAGATTGTGAGTTTAAAGCCAGCTTTGGCTACACAGAATGATACAGGCTAGTCTGGACTGCAGTGAAAAACCCTGCCTTCAACATGAATAACATACAAAAAAATCTGTAACATAAATAAACACAGAAGAGTAAAATAAACAGTCCTACACTTAGTTATCAAAAAGTCAACATAAAGAGTGTTTCACTGGGACAAACTGGGACTACCAAAACATTGCCTGTTTTAGCCAAGAACATGTGCCACTAATATTTTACAGAATAAGTGAAATAAGCCAGGTACCGAAAGACAAATCCACACGTGAATGATAAAGAAATGATGTCACAGTAGCAGAAAGTGAGTAATGGTCACTAGAAGCTAAGTGGGAATGGTGGAGACTGGACTGCGGGTATCAGAGCAGAGTCGGGAGCAGCGTCAATGTGCACAGCACAGAAGGAAGGGCACTACACATTCTACAAAGAACGAGAAGTTCAAAGGTTCCCAATACCAAAAAAACTAAAAGTTTAAGATGGAAATGCTAATTACCTTCAACACTGTGTATATAATATAATAACCTTATAATTACATTATATACACAAATCATCAGGGAACTCCCTGAATTGTAAAATTTTAAAGTTTTATGTAGCACACAGCTCACTCCCCAGAGGTCCCTTTGTGTTATCACTTCCCTGCTGCTCCAGTCCCTCGGCTTCTTCCCTAAATGGGATGTACAACACTTCCTAGAGATCTCAAAGGCAACTGGCTTCTCCCTTCCCTTCTAGGATGCCCAAATCTTGAGACAGACTGGTTGGCTCCAGGTTTTGCTCCAGGTTTCAAGTCTACCACCTCAGGGTTCACAGGCCTTCCTTTCTAGTAAACATTCCACCAGCTCCCTGAACTCAGCATGACCAACAAAGAATGCTTCACCAGCACCTGCCTGCCACCAAGTCTCCTAAGAACCAAACTTCCAGGCCACTTATTTGCAATCCTTCACATCCTGTTATTACGGGAGGCTCTCGAATCCTCCTCTCCTCCTAGTACCACCAAACTATTGTGGGCATCCCCTTCCCTCAGGTGAGCCCCTGCAACTGCACCCAATTTTCTTACTTCTATATGCCTTCACTTCCATGGAAGACCTTTCCTACAGTATGAGTGGAACACGATGTTCTTATTTCTAAGTCTCCAATGCCCTTTTCTTCTACTCTCCAACCCACACTTGCAGATGGAGGTGAAGTTCCTATTTTTCTGAATTTCATGAAGGCTATTTCCTAGTCTTATTTTGTCCTAGCTATTTGCTGTCATCTGCTCTCAGACCTAGCATGCTGCTGCATACACTGATGCCTCGGCACTTACAAATCCTGACACCAGGAATCAGTGCTCTCACACTTCCCCAAAACATGGACTCATGCGGGTTCCCTCAGCACCTCTGGGATGGTCATAATTACTTGTAATCGTTTCTACTTCCAGCTGCTCACAATGTTCACGATACACGTGTTCTCACAAATAGCATACTGAGTCTTTTTGTAGTTAACTAAACTATGATACAAGACACATACTAAAAGTGCTCACTTCCAGGAAGCCTTGTTTTTTATGGTCAACCAGAAACACTGCATTCATGGCAAAAAGCTTGCTAAAAACTGTACTTTGAACGCTTTGTATATTTTTTCCCCATGAGTTACTTGATAATGAGTATTTGATTTACATTATCAGTATTAATCTTGGGCCAGATTTTAGAAATTTAGATTAAGGGTACATAATGGCATTTATTAACTACCTAGTACACACAAAACCTGTACTTTATTAGTCAGAAGTTACAAAGGAAAATAAGAGGTTTGTATCACCAGAGGTCATAGTTTGGAATTTTTTTTTTAGAATATTAATGCTACCATATATTGAACACTTAACTGCTGTTGTCAAGCACCTATCACCACTATCTCATAAAACATCTGACAAAACAACTCCATTTTATAAGAGACTAAGTTACATAAGTGATTGCTGCTATTTAAACCTACATCTGAGATTAAAATGATTCATCAGGCTTTCTGATATACAATGGCCATCTTGCCTCATCTTGCCACTTGCCACATGCACCAATATCTGTCCTCCAGGACACTGTGGGCATCTAGATGTCAGGGACCCAGCCAGCCAAAAATAGGAGCATTTTGTGAGAGAAGCAATGCAACAAACACCAGATTTATACTCAGTAACTACTTTTGGTAAAATCAGACTAAGAGCCTTTTCAAGAAAACTTTTGTGTTTTATTTTCAGCAGGAAAGGTGCCAGATTGACCCAAGGGAGACCCTGTCAAAAAAAAAAAAAAAAAAAAAAAAAAAAAAAAAAAATCCTTTTTTCAAACACACTTAATGTCAAAGACTCAAAGTTAGATTCCATGAAAGTCCTCTATAAATAAGGCCCTCTAAATTTAAATGGATGTAAGCACTGCAGAACATGTATGCATTTAGAAGTGGTCTCCACTGACATGCAGCAAACAGTGCTAATCAGATATAAGCAGAGTTGGCTAAATATGCAATGTTTTGCAAAATCAGGAATGTTTTAACATGATATAATCATTGTATGATTTGCTATACTGACAATACTGAGCATCCATTAGAGTATTTTCTGCTATAGTACAGGAGGACAAGTTATAGCAACCTTGGCAGTCAATCTGACCACTTCACTTAATACATCTTCGTTTCAATTTCCACTGGCTTTTGTACCTCTGAAGCAAGCAAACAGGCACATAGTATATGAAAAAAACCAAGTTATGGTACTTACCACATTAAAGTTGATATCAAGAGGCCAACACCAACACAATCTATGAATACGACCCACAGGAGCAGCTTTATTGTCTCAAAAAATCCCATGTCCAGCACAAAGCCAAATCCTATAGTGGACACTGAAATAAGATTTAAAGGAGTCACTGCTAGCTTGTAGGGGTACAGGACACAGTCCCTGACATCTAGATACCCTCAGTGTACTGGAGGACCAACACTGAAACAAAACCCAAAAGATGTATTAAATGCAACTGATGTAGAACTGTGTATCATGTTCGAATGCAGGCAAACGAGGACCCCGCCACACCAGTTTACCATGACTTGTGAAACATTCAGAACAGCATTTTGAGAGGACACAACATGTTTCAAGTCCACTTAAAGGTGAAAACACCTATGTACTTCAGTACCCTATGGATGACTGGGAATCTTTCATTACATATTGGAGAACTTAAAAAAATAGTTTCCAAGTTCAAATAAGTATTTTTAAAACTGTGACGCTGGGGGTGGGGGGAATAGTTTTGTGATAGAGCACTTGCCTAGTGGTTTCTAACCCTAGTACTACAAAAACACAAAACAAAAAAAAACCTCAGTCTCAGAGACTGGCCTATGAAATGTAATTTCAAATCCGGACATTCCTTTTCATAGCATTTGAGTACTGATTTACAGTAGTTAAGGAAAAAAAAAAAAAAATGGGGAGGGGAGTAAATAGGTGTGATGCTGAGTTAAAAGGATCTTGAATTCAAGGTCAGCCCAGCCTGTCTCAAAAAGGAAAAAAGTAGCTGCAAATTTATCATGCATATGAAGCCCTGGGGTTCAATCCCTAGCACCACAAAACAACAAAAACCATGGAGTAAACCCTGTTCCCTGTTTTTCAAGGTTCCAGTTTAACAGTTTACTCTGGTATCTGTGCTCAGCCCTTAGAACTACGAAGAAACTTAACTTTCTTTCCTGTCAGATTTTAAGATTTCAGAAAAAAAAGAGCCTCAAATATCCCCAAATTTTGGCCCAAAGTACATCATCACAAAAGAGACTCCAATGATGTTTAATTTCAAATACCCAATTTGTTCTTCAATTACAGTGCTGGTAAACTGACACTCACCACAGAGCCAAATACTTAACAGGACCAAGAAAGCTGGGTCATCTCTGGCCCACTGATCCTTTGTCTGCTTCCGGTAATGAAAGTTTCTATAAACCCTCTGTGGGGAAGTGAACAGGTAGAGCATCTGCCACGCAGCAAACTCAAAGTCCATCTGCCGAAAACGAAAAAGCCTTCGGAGGTATTTGTAGCGTTTCGCTCCAGCTGTATGTCTTGCTGCATCCCGGGAGTTCAAGACTCCATTCCCCAGCATCGAAGAACTCACTGAAGTACTTGGTAACATCTTCCTAGATGGAATAAAAACATTTCTTACATGTAACCTGAAGAAAGCTACTAACACCCCTCTTCAGAGTTATTACGCCTTCTGCTGCACCTTTCAAAAGGGTTAGGGGACAGAAGCAGTGGACTTGGTTCTAGGGCTTAAGGGACTGGAGAACTGTTGATTGCAGTTCCATGAAGGACTGTACCGCGGACAGTACCCTTCTGTGTCGCTTAAAGACTTATCCAGAGTCCATGGTTTCCCACATTTCACCTCACTCAAGCCTCAGGCAGCCCTACCAGGTAGCTACTGCCAACGGAAGGCGAGGAGAGAGGCACAGGGAAGTGAAATGACCTCACGAACATGGAACCAAGACTGGAATTCAAGCTCAAAAATTCCGTATTCTTAACGGATCACGCTTTAACTGAAAAAAAAAAAAAGGGGGTGGGAGATGGTATTTGAAAGCAAGGTAGTGAAAAGGTTAAATACACAGGCTCATTCACTCAGGTCTATCAGCGATGACCAGCAAGCTCCTGGTTCGATAGGAAAACAAATTCTATCCCCGCCCACTGTTTACTCCCACAATCGTTAAGCAGAACGACAGCATCGAGAGTCCAGTCCAACCAGTCGGAAGCCAAGTGTGCGCAGGTTACCGCTCCACTCTTCGGGCAGCCTCCCTCCAGCTCGCAGGACACCACGGCGCCCCGCCCAACCAGCAGCTCTCCATTACCCAGGGGCTGCAGACCCCTGCCAAATTTAAAGACTAAGAATTCAGAATGCCCAGCTACATTTGAATTACGAACAAGCAACGAAAGCTTTCTGGATGTGTGTGCCCCGTGCAAAATTCCAGACCTGTTAGACTAAAAAGCTGTTCCCGTTCCTGCGATCCCAATGTAAACAGGTGTCCTTGTTTGTACTCGGCAGCTACACCGCGGGCCTCGGCTCGAGCAGCCAGCCGCTGGGGCGCCCGCGGCCAGATGAAACGGCCCTCAGCACTAGTGCGAGCACGCGTGGGCCGAGCAGCCCTTCCCTGAAGCCCGGTGCTGCTTCGCCCGGGCCGGGCCACGCCGCTGCCTCCGTTCCACAGCCGAGCCCAGCAGCCGCCGGGGCGACTTCCCTTCCCGCTACGTAGCCGGCACCCGCGGCGCCCGGTGTTTACGTCACGAGCGCCCACTTCCGCCACCTCTGGGGCGACTTCCCTTCCCGCTATATAGCCGGTATCTGCGGCGCTCACTATTTGCGTCAGGAGTGCCTACTTCCGCCGCACATGCGTCGACCCCCAGGACTCGCCCTCTGACCTGAAGTCTGTAGGTTTGCCGGAAGTTGTTGCAGGTTTCTTCCGGTTCCCTTGTCAGTGGGCGTGGCTCGCGCTGGGCCCTGCGGTTTAGGAGCTGAGCGCGGTGGACGCGGTCATGCCCCGCTATTACGAGGACAAGCCGGAGGGCGGCGCGTGCGCGGGCGTGAAGGAGGACCTGGGCGCGTGTCTGCTGCAGTCGGCCTGCGTGCTCCAGGTAGCGCCGCCCGATGTCCACGGCTGCGGCCCGGTGACCGGGCTCTGCGAAGGGCTAAGTCCTCGGCCTCGTCTGGGGGCGGGTGTAACTCAGAGCATTAACTCCGGAACTCGGGCAGGTCTCGAGCTATCAGCCTGTTCCTCTGGGGTTTAATGGGTTTAATATGCACACTACCCACCTCAGGTTTTTGTAAACATTAAGCCATCTTGGCTCAAGAAAACTTTCTTGAGTGCTGGCACTCTGCTAAGTTTTGGAGACATAAGGAGAAGAGTAAGTCGGATTACTTGCTTGCTAGGAAATGAAGATGTAAAATGAATTCTGGATCCCACAAACCTGGCACACTGCTTGGAAGTCTCCCTTTTGTCCGTTCAGTTGTGCCTGAATGTACGCCATTGTCTGGTGTTGGCTTGAACATGTTTCTGAGGTGAAATACTGCACGCTTTAGGTGTTAGAGTGAAAATGAGGAAATGTTACATAATCACCAGTTGGTGTCTTTTTCAAACCGTTTTTTTTTTAAACTCTTACTGAAGTCAGGGGTCTTTCAGCATCTCATCAGAATACATTGCGACAGGTTCAAAGTTGACTCTAAACCTGGATTCTGATTTATAATCCAAATAAGTCAAAGTGTATTTTCTAAATAAGCCGTAAGACAGCAATCAGTTATGTGCAGTTATTGCATTGGGGGATGCGATGCAATTTCATAAAGTCGCTCTCATTTGAAAGGCAGTTGTTTCCAAATGGATTTCCACCCTGTATCTGTATTCTACCTAGGTCCAAGTTATGTTTCATTCACTGATTTTAGCAACCAGCCAGACTCAACCTTCAGTGTCTAGTAAATCTTCAGTAGATATACAAAGAGTATCTTGTCCAACTTCTTGGTACATATGAGGAAACAGACACTCCTGTTTTCAAGCTCCCCTCTCCAGGCCTTGTCCAGTTACCTGCTTCATTCACTGGTGTATGTTCAGCCTATTAAGTGGCAGGAATGTCCATATAGAGGTGAATCAGTAGCAGTCACCACCTGCATGAGCTTGGTCTGATGGGAGAGATGACATGCCAGAAACTAAATTCCTGCAATAAGGGCTGTGTAAGCATTTGTCTAATGAATAGATCTATGGTAAAAAAAAAAAAAATTGAACTCAGTTTAGAACAATTTGCTTCAGAATTTGGGAAGGTCTCACAGAAGTGTCACATGAGCTGAGTGTTAAAGGCTGAATAGCAGTTTTAACAAAGAAAGAGGCTGGTTGTTGGGAGAATCTGAAGAAACAGTAAGTATAGAGGCAGGAAGGTAGAAGGGCCCAGGGATGCTAGTGGCCTGTGGGGCCTGGAGTGTGGGAACTGTGACAGGGTTTGAGAGGATGGTTGCAGCTGCCTGTGAAGGCCACTTTGTGTCTGGGGGAGGCACTGGGATTATTCACCATCAAGAAGGCTGTGGAGGCAAGCAGCTGAAGGAAGGAAGTACACAGACCAAGGCTGAAGAAGGGCCTGGAAGTGGAGGACAGTCCTAGTGACAAGGAAAATACCAAGTTGATTTTTTGCAGTCATTGATCTGACAGTGTTCATGGCGTGCCACACTCAAATTGAGGGAACAAATCCTGGTGGATGAGACACCTGTGTAGAAAGTGGGTCTCTGGAAAGCTAGAAAGCAGAGGTTATGACCAGGACACCTGGTAAAGACTGATTCCCATCACTAGGTTGAACAGGATTGTTAATGCTGAATTTGTTCAAAGGAGCCTGATGTTTATAGCCCCCTGAATGGAAATGGGTTTTCCATTTGGGTTAAATTTATCCTGAATGGTGACTGCAGCTAGAGTGTAGAAGGGCAGCAGTGAGGAGTAGTGAAGGCAGGTCTAGCACAAGGTCCTCCCTTCTGGGGTGGGGTCACTGGCAGATACTAGAGCCCACTCTCCACTAGGGACTTGGACACAGAGGGAAACTGCTGAGTTCTGTGCCTGCTCTATATGGCCGCTTCATCTGGGATGGAGATTTTTGGTTCCTTGGCTTCTAAAATATAGAAGTTAATGTGATCTTTTGGCAGACGGTGCCATAGTTTCTCCTTGCCAGTCTTTAACCCATCTCAAATCCACAGCATTGCATTCTGGGAGGAATTTTTTAAAATACTGAGTGTCCTAGGTGCTGCCATGGGAGACAGTCAAGGAATTCTGGGGGCTCAGAGAAACTCAGGGTAAAGTATGAATTCAGACAATAGGAATGTAGGTTGGGCAGGGGGCTGGTGTGGAGAAGCAGGGGAAAGCCGATTCAGAACAATCACTGTGATAGATTTTGTAGGGTTTATAGCTCCTGGGGAGCCAGAAGGGTTGAAAGTGCCAAAAGGAATTCACCCCTGGATTTCCCATGAGTCTCCAACAGCTTCCAGACCTGTTGGCTCCTTCAGAATCACCTGACAGTGGGTGCAGGGCAGCTTAAAAGTGGATTCCACTGCTGCCCTACCCCCTAATTTAAAGTCTTCCAGGTTGGTTGGTTCTTGGGGACAGCCACGTTTAGGAACACTTACTGATACTAACCTCAGAAGGCAAAATAGTTTGGGAGTGTACTAGAAGTAGGTACAGACCTTGAATAATTGACCTAACAAATCAGTGAGTTCTTGCTTTAACTTTTGTTCTTACAAGACTTTGGTGTTTTTGGTTTCCCTTAGTCTTCCAGGGACCCCACTTCACTTTGCGACTCTTAAGTGCTGGATGGGAGACACGGTGTTGCGCTGACCCTTGGGCTTAGTTGCCTTGCTAGCATATCACAGGCTTCCTAACCTTATGGACTAAAGGGGGGCAAAGGTGCCAGGCTCTTCTCTTTAAAGGCCAATGACAAGTTTTACATCTGTTTTCCATGCATTACATTGCCTAGAACTTAGCTGTATGACCAAATCCAGCTGCAGGGGGGCCTGGCAAATCTAGTTTAGCCATGTGCTGTTAGATTAACTTAGCCATGTGTGGTTAAATTAAAAAAAAAAAAAAAAAAGGTAGATACTTAAGGGATACCTGGCAGTCTGCCATGCGGGGTAGAGGAGGATGCATTGGCCTTTGTCTCTTAGATTAAGTGCATTCTAGATGGTTCTTCCCATCAGGTAGTTGTCAGTATAAGTTGAAAGTTTGTGAAATGATTGTGTCTTGGATATGGTTTAGGGAGATAATAGCTTATAAGTTATAACCTTTTATATAGTTCTTTTTTTCTGTCTGAACATAGTTCATGTGGGCAACATGCCCCATCAGGAATATTGCAGAGTTTGGGGGGGTTACATAACAGTACAAGGAAGCTCGCTACTCTGCTCCACTTTTGATAGTCACCAATGTACACAAGTGAAGTCCAAGACCCAGGCAGGCAGATAGAAAGTGACAAAGAACACCACAGAACACCCTGAAGCTTTTTTCACAGTGAAAACTAAGGGAAGTGTGATTGTTACCTGCGAAGTGAAACTTTGGGAGAATAGTGCTAGTGCTGTTGGTGAGTCAAAGTCTGCTTGAGGGGAAGCCCATGACTATGCAGAACAGGTGAAATGTGGGTTATATTTTCCTGAAAGTGGTCCCCCAGCCCAGGTCATTGACATGCATGTGTGTGTAAGCTAGAGGACATCTTCCTCTACCATTCTCCACATTTTTTTTAAGTTTTGTGTGTGAGGTGTGTATGGTGTAGGTGTGCACGTTTGTGTGTATACTTTTGGAGGCCAGACAAAATAGGACATGGGGTATCTTGCTGTCACTCTCTGGCTTATTCCTTTCAGACAGGTCTAAGCCCCAGCAATCTTTCCCTAACCCTTGCCTCCCACCTCCAGAATTCAGGTTCCTGGGGCCTGTGGCCATGTCCAACTTTTATTTTGTTTTGTTTTGTTTTTTTGTGGGTGGTAGGATGAGAATTCAGGCCTTCCTGTTTGCACAGCAGGCACTCATACCCACTGATATCTCTCTAGCCCCTCCACCTAGTATTTGAGATAAGGTGTCTCACTGAAACTGAAGCTCACTGATTGGCTAGACTTGCTGGCCAGATCTGCCTATTTCTACCACACAGATGTGGGATTACAGGCACTTGCCACCATGCTCTGCTTTTTATGTGCACAGCAAGCCCTCCAATCCACTTAGCCATTTCCACAGCCCCTTGTGACATCTATATAGAATGGTCAATACCAACACTAAAATTCTCATTTTAAGGCACCAAATTCATAGTTTTCATATATAGGAAGATTTACAGAAACATATTATTGATGAATTCCATGGAAACTTGTGTTTTAAAAACCTTGCCTCAGGGCTGGGTGTGGTGGCGCACACCTTTAATCCGCAGCACTCCAGAGGCAGAGGCAGGTGGATCTCTATGAGTTCAAGGACAGCCTGGTCTACATAGTGAGTTCCAGGACAGCTGGGGCTACAGGGAGACCCTGTCTCAA